CCATACGCACCAATCATCCGTCCCGAGCGCGACTACCACCCTGCTGCCAGTCTGCCACTGCCTCAGCCTGGGCCAAGTCTGACTCTGACATCCAGCGAATTGGCCTTGTACTCCGTTCGCTCTGGGTAATCCGTAAGCCCTGAAAGAGAACGTTACCGAAGCTCCATCTCGGGCTTCTAGAGTTCCTTCAACGGAACGGCCCCAGAACCGGCTTCTACGAAACGAACAAAGACGGGCGCTGGTTGCATTTGGCATGCTTCACTCCTGAACTGCCGCAGCAATTAGCACTAGCATCAGCATCAGCATCAGTATTGTTTGGTGTTGGTTTCCTCGACCGGCCCAGTCCACCCCGTCCATCAGGCCGTTCCTTTGATCGAACTTGGTCGGCGCCGTCGAATGACATTGCCCCATTGCCTCCCAATCCCCTTCCCCTCTCACTTCAGAACCTCGATCCGTTGGCTTTGTTCGTTTGAAGTCTTGACGCCTCCTGCCCAACCTTGTCCTGTACAAGCTACTGCTTCCTCTTGCGGGCCGTATCTTACGGGTGATACCTTACGTGGAAACGTACCATATTCTCGGACACACAAAGAAACAGAGGCAGAGACAGAAAAGACTCAAGTTGAGGATAAACCAAAGGCACATTGGTACCGAGTTGCGCTAAGCCCAAGCATTATTCGAGAACAAGGAAAACGCGCGCGGAGCTGCTGCACAAAACCGGACATTTGATATTTCGGATTGGCATTGCTACCAGCCAGCCAGCCTACGGTTACGGATTACCACCACCACTGCCACTGGAACTCTGTATCTGTACGGTACCTAGCTTGCCCCCGTTGCCCTGTATTATTCGGGGAAGAGAAAGGGTGTCAAAGGTCTCGCGGGGGTGGGCCAGGCCAAACTAGGACCAAAGCTCGTCAGGAGCTGCTGCTGCTGCGCACCACCACTACTTGGTGCGCACCACAAGCACCACCAGACGTATCCAATCGAAGACCAGTTCGCTCATTTTCACACTTTCTGACGATCCACTTGAGCAAAAAGGTACTGCTCAGCGCTCACTCTTTCTCGGCGGGCGGCGCTGTCGACAGGCATTCGGCTTGCTGGGGGTGGCGCGCGCAGACGACCGGGAGACAAGACAGGAGACACGACGAAAGGCACGGCGAGCAGCAGGAGATCGTACCGTACTTGTTAAACGTGCTTGGACAAGGCAGACAAGACAATCAGACAATCGTCAGAGAAGAGGCAGTCGACAGAACAAGCAAAGCAGGCAGGCAGGCGAGCGGCGAGCGGTGTCGACAATTGGATTGTATACCTGCTGCGTCGACGCAGTCATCCTCATCCCTCGCTTCTTCCCTCGCTGCGGGCTTCATTATTAGGTACCCCGTACCAAGGCATCCATCACGGCGACAGGCAGACGAAGCAGAGACAGAAGAGAGACAGCATTGTGGTGCTACTGCTGGTCGGCAAGGAACCTAGCTCACTCAGCCTGCTTCGCGCAGCTGCACTTGCAGGGCACATCTGCAAGGAAGAAAGAGGGTCAGCTCACTGCAAGTAAAGTGAGTCCAGCGTCTCCATCTAGTCCAGTCCGTTCCTCGGTATCCGTAACGTATGCGGATTCCATACAGGCAAGTAATACCACCCAGTGCGCGGGCTACAGAACAGACGCATAGGGCAGCCTCAGTTTCGTGACTTTGTGCTTCGTATGGAGTGGTAATTGCTGACCTGAGGTGTTTGTACAGTAGTCGTCTGCTGGATTTCCTGATTGTATCCATCAGCCAGCATCAAAAGTAACAAAAGGCGCATCAGCCCAACAGCAATAGTAACTTCAGCAGGCAGGAAGCTATCTACCTTACTACGTACAAAGTCATACTAAGGTAAGGTAGGACAGGCGGTCTTGGAGAAGAGACACGTCGATTCCATGTATCTTTATGCTGTGCATTAGGTGCGGAACTACCTCTCGGTCATTCACGCTTCCCCCAGTCTCTCCCCTTCCCTGTGCCTAGCCTGGGCTCTTCCCTGTCGATATCACAACAAGATACTTTGGCTGTATATGCGAGAGCGGCGGCAATAGAAAGTACCGCGCCGTTTCTTGGGATCCACCTGGGGGGGACTTTGCACTTGCACTTTGGTCGACACCAAAACCAGCACCAGCGCCAGCACCAGCAGCAAGTATTTCGTACCTTTCCAAGTATTCGCACCAGGACCACCTGCTCATTCGCACCTGCTCTCTCACACACCCCTCCCCTCCCCTCCGTCCTCCCTCTCCACCTCACCCTTCCCGTTCCCCCTTCTCCTCTCGCTCTGTCTCTCTGTCTCTCTATCTCTCTCTTTCCTTCCCGTGCCTCCCTCGTTCATCCGCCCCACCCACCCTCTCTCCTGCTCCTTCTCTCTCACACATACTATGCAGTAGACAGGAAGGTAATAATCGTCAGGGAATACCTAGGCAGGCACGAAATACACACCTACCGCAGCCAGACATTCGCACCTCCCGCCCACACACACACATCCTCAGAAAAAGGGCCAAAGCTGTACCTTTACGTAGGTACTTGGTCCTTGTACCCATCCAGCAGCGGGCCCCAAAGTACCTTTTTTCCCTCCCAACTTACTGCAAAGGAGGAGTCCCAGACGTACCGCAGTACTCGAGCCGGCCGGCCTGTTAAAACACCTTGGTTCTCTTCCAATCCTTTTTCATCTCCTCGGCCCTCCTCCAACCCTTTACCTACCCTCACCTCCCCCTTCTCTCCTCCTCCTCGTCCCTCCCCATCCATTCATTCCCTCCTCTTCCTCTCTCCCCGAAGACAGTCCTTCCTGACTCCTTTGCTCGCCGAAAACGAATAAAGGGTCTTTCCATTCTCTACTCCTCTACCCCCCCAATTGAGAATAGGAAAAAAGAGGAAGGTAGGAGAAAGAGAGAAGACTTAATCTGGCGACGTCCCCTCCCTGACTGAACCGACTCGTCTCCCTCGACTCCCAACTCACCACCACCACCACCAACCACGCCCAAAGCTGTCAAGGTCGAACCAGCTTCATCTTGCACACGCCCCCCTTCTTCTCCCATCAACTCCCCGACAATCCTCGACAGTTGGAAACGGTTCGCCAATTCCCAGGTTTTCGAGCTTGCAGAGTGTGACCGGAAAAGCCACAAGAGAGCAGGACCACCGCAACAAAGAGAAAGAGACTGGAACTCGATTTAAAGATATAGTGAAGAAGACCTTGATTGGTATTTTCTACACTGCTCTTTCATCAGACAAGACAAGAAAAAAAGACTCCCACGTCCCTCCCGTTCCTTGCATCCCTCTCCCGACCGTCCGCCCTTCCCGCGACGACCAATCCGACCAACCCATCACCCCCTGAAGAATTCCTCGCCTCCACGACGACCAAAGGAACTCGACTCAGACGTGCAACTTCCACGACGCAACAAAACCCACACACCCATCCTCGGCCCTCCGACGACTACCACGAAAGCTCCCTTTCGTTCCGCCGGCCTGCCATCCCGCCCTCATTCCTTCCAAGAGCCCCTTTGCGATCTTGGATTGTGTCGGCCCCAAAGCTTCTCGAGCAACCCCGTTCTCCAGAAGCCCGATTCTTCATCCCCGTGGATTCCCAATCTCAGGTTCCCTCGACAAGGAAAGAAATTTACAGGAGAATCTTTTTTTGGTTCACCATTGCTTTCTCTCAAGGCTTGTCAGACCATCGAGAATACCTCATACATGATCCCACCAGGATTATAGATCATCCCTTTTTGTCCTTCGGGCACCATCTGTGAAAAGGTACGTTTTTTACTACAACAATGTAATTCAGATGAAGATGTGCGCCTGGCCTACCTATTCACCACCATCAATCCACCTGCCCTGACCAGTCCAGCCTGATGACGGGATGAACCTTCGTCTCCATCTTCCAAACCTTCCCCTACCCAGAGCTTTCTCCGTTCACCACCATCTCCACTACAAGCACTCATCATCCCCTTCACGTTACCGCATCTGTTAAGAGCCCGGTGTCTAAACTTCACATCTTCCCTCCCTCCAGAGCTTTTGCGTGCCGTTGTAGTATTTCTACTCGGCGATCCACGTACACAAAGTTTCCCCCCACATTTTACCAAGAAACCAAAACCACCACCAGTCCGAGGTTAGGATAGCTCGAGGGGATACGTTCATTCGTCGCTCCCCCAATCCCATCCTCAGGAATTGTCTCAATTTCGTCTGTCTTGACAGTCAAAGTTGCACAACAACCGTGGCGGTAAGCCTCGCCATCACTTCACACTCCAGCCCTTTTCCCTTCCCAGTTCCTGAGCCTCTGCCCTCTACTCGCTCCCTTCTGCCCCTACGGTCCTCTCACTGCCTAGCCCCCCAGTCAAGAGACGCCAGTCTAGATGATTCTCCATCTCCCCTCGTGCCAATCCGTCTCCCCACCACCCACTGGTCGAATCAGGGCGACTCTATCTGAGTTCGAGATCTTCCCCCTTTAGATCGGCACCAAGCGGTATTTACAGAAGCCGGTTGCTCCTTCATCGCGCCCGTCGTCAACCTTCAAACAGCTGCTTGTCTCACTTCGTCCACTACTCTAGGCTCCCTCGAGCGCCTGCAATCGTCTAAACGAACCGCGAGCTAACCCAATCTTTTCTCTTCTTCTAGAGCCATCCACTCGACCTCTCTCATAAACGGCCAGTTTCCCGGCCACCTTTCCGTCCGTCAATCTCACACGAGGAACTCGGTCTCGCATCATTTCGGCTTCTCATCCAGCCACAGTCACTCTTTTGCCGGACCCTGTTCGCTTTCAACACGCTCATTCTAATACTAATATTCTAATCTCTCGGTTGCACCATTCCACTCTTTCACAGCACCGATTCTGAAGACTTTTTTTACCGTTTCTTTTTTCACGTCCTTCCGTCTCCGACCACCAAAAAAGCTTCCTGGAGAACTTAATCGTCATTCTTTCCCGTTTCGGAACTTCGACCGTCAGCCAACCCCCCTCATACCCGCCCTCGACTCACTACATCACAATTCAAAATGGCGTACTACCAACAACAACAACAGCAGCACTCCGATCCTACCTTCTTCACAGAGGACCACGACGAACCCCAACGGCCGCGAATGGGCACTCGGGACGCCGCCAAGATGATTGCGAGGCAACGGCAGGAGATTATCGCCAGCGAGCTTTCCCGGATAGCTGGTGACGAGTACTTGGAGGATATCATGAAGCACATGAGGCACATGGAGGTAAGAATGAGAGGAAGGAGCAGCCACTGGCCTCAGTTGGATCGGCTTTACTGACACCCGACTTCAGGATGAGACGATGCCTGATGCCAATCTCATCGACATGCAAAGAGAGATTCAATGGTACATGAGACCCTACCTCATCGACTTTCTCATCGAAGCCCATGCTGCCTTCGCCCTCCTCCCCGAGACTCTTTTCCTCACTGTCAACCTCCTCGACCGGTACTGCTCAAAGCGTGTCGTCTACAAGCAACACTACCAGCTCGTCGGTTGTGCCGCTCTCCTGATCGCCGCCAAGTATGGTGACAAGAAGGACCGCGTGCCCCAGATCCACGAACTCAACAACATGTGCTGTGGCTTGTACGACGCCGGCATGTTCACCCAGATGGAGATGCACGTCCTCAACACCCTCGAGTGGACCATTGGCCACCCCACTGTCGACTTCTTCACCCAGCTCATCGTCGCTGAGGAGCACGACAAGGTTGAGGTTGAGCACATGGCTGCCTACATCTGCGAGATCGCCCTGTACCACCGCGACTTCGTCTCCACCAAGCCTTCCATCATGGCTCGCTCATCCCTCGCCTTGGCAAGAGCGATCCTTGGCGAGCCCGAGATCAACGATGGAGAGTGGGACCACGTTGAGAACGTCACCCTGCTGACTCTCTCTCAACACCTGCACAGCCCCTCCGTCGCCCTCGCGAGGAAGTACTCATCATCACACTTCTCCGGCGTCGCGAAGAAGCTTGCGTCTTTCATGGCTCACCAAGCTAGCATCGCGCGAGCCCAGTCGGGGGTCCCTCCGAGTCCGCCTTCTGAGTCCGCCTCAAAACACTCAAACATCTACAGCACCCCCCATAAAGGCCACGGAGCTGTCGCAGGAGTAGTAGAAGGATACATGACCCCGCCCATCACCCCTGATGGCGCCGCATATGGAACCGTGAACAAGGACGCATACCCCATGCCGCCGAGATGTCCGGTCACCCCGACACCGCAACCCAACACAGCGGCGTACGCGCAACAACAAGTGCAGCAGCAATACGCCCCCTTTGTACACCAACATACGACGGGTCACCACATGGCCTAAACGTCGACTAACACGGGTCGAACCCCCCGCGGAGTCCCACACAGCGAACCAACGCTGCGATACGGGCAATCGAAGCTTTCCCCTCATTATACCCGTGGCAGGGCAATTGAGCGATCTCCCAGGAAGTGGATTAAAAAGGAAAAAAAGATTGTTTGCCGCATGCATACAGAATGGTTTTTTTCATCAACACGTCATGGCATCGAGCGATTTGATTTTTATGCAACAAAGTCCATTTTCACTCAGCAGAAGTGTCCCAAAAAAAGGAATACGGATCATACCCCAAACAACCCCCGAGTTATTTTTTCTCAACAGCATTCAGCGGCTTTTTATTACATACACAACACACCTCAACGAAGAGTTTTTACGTTCGCGAGATGGTCACCCCAGGACGGGTGAAGGATTGGAATCACAGCGGTCATCCTTCACGGTAATTTGAAGTTGGGATCCAGGCGACGAGATATCGACACCCCCGACCCATCATTCACAACACACCAATGAAGGGACACCAGCGAAGGTCAGATTGTAGGGTCTCAGGATGAGATTCGACCCGAATGGGAATTCTTGAAGGAGGAAAAAAAAGAAGCACAGTGAATTTTTTTCGACGGATTGGTGGGACCTCGATGGACTTTAACCCTAGGGAAAAGGACTCTTGGACTCGCTCAAGGAAGGGAAACATGCGGCCACTGAGCACACGAACACCTCCTGGCCGGTTTACTTTTTTCGCACCTTGGAGCCAACCATTTCGAGAGTGGTGGACAGATTGTTTCCTTTTTCTTTGATCATTGAAGGCCGGATATCCCCTAATTGGCCGACAATGGATGCAAAGGGATACCAAAGGAATCAGTTTCTGGTCCGCACGTTACTTTTGGAGACAAGGCTGGATTCGTTCTCTTTCGATGACCAGAAGGAAATTTCTGGATGGAGAGAAGGAAATGGGGGGACGACCATGAGACGGTATCTCCCTACCCAGCCGGGGCGAGAGCCCTCGAGACTTTCGTATACCCGCATTTGGACTCCCTTACGTGTAAGGTAGTTGTACAAAGGCACAAAAAAAGAGTAAAAATTCTCTGCTACTTTTTCGTCATATCTTCTGGTCCCTCTATTATTGTGTGCCATGTCTTTGTGTTTGTGTCCTGTGATGAAGTCTCTCAATGATGAATATGGTTTGGCTGGTAGCCTGGTGCTGGGCCTCTGTGTGACATGGTCCGTGATGGTTACACACAAGGGGGAGGGTCGAGCTCCTTGAAAAGCCCACACGGGAAATGAATTGCCCACCCACGTCCATCCCCCTGCCCCCCTCCTCCCCGGGCTAATCATAGCTGTTGCATTAGTGACGCGGGATGGAGCGGCGGGAGGCCTACTATTGGACTTTTTTTTGTTATGATGTAGGTTTATGCGTTGGATAAGGTATGTCACTTCATTATGCGAGTGATTTTGAATGGGGGGTTCCTTGTCACTTGTGTGTTGGCTTGTTGGAGTACGCATTCTTACGTAGTGGGTGCGTCCCTCCTTGTGTAGATGCTTTTATCGTTTCTCTGCTTTCCTCACGAAAGAAGAGAAGAAAAAAAAAATTGGTATGCGGAAAAGCTCCTGGATCCCTTCCTCCCGGACCCGACGTGTTCTGGTTCATCTGAAGCTGGGAAAGCTTACTTTTGATTGATTGATTGATCTTCGTCTGAAAAATGTGGGAGTGATATATTTTTTTTTCGCTTGGGAGTGACATTACTAGAGACATGGAGGACGGGGCTAAGCCTGTTTAGGGGGTGGATAATCGTAATTTTTTTTGGTGGATTACCTAAGGCGTTCGATGCAGGGAAACGGGAAGGTACGGAGGTACTTGTGGGCTTGAGCATTTGATGGGGGGCCGGGGGTCGGGATGTGAGCTGTGCATTTGGGCATGGGGCATGGTTTTTTGCTGGCTTCTGATGTCTTGTGAGATTGTTTTGCTGGATTGGCTTATTCTGGGTTCGGTATTTGAGGTAGAGGTAAGGGGGGAGGTTGGAGATTTGGGATGCGTGGGATTCAAGCTGGGTTTGTTGTCAGGGTCAGTTTGGTAAGTGGTGGTGGTGTTGTCTCTCTCCCTTTTGTGTAACGGTTGTGAGGTGCGCACGTCTCAGGGAGGACTTTTCTTTTCTGTCGGTAAGCGTTTTCTTTTTGAAAAGGGTTTGGTTGAGGCCTGCTGAAATAAAGATTGAATAGGCAGCATTAAGGCCCTCGAGGGGATGTCCGCCGGGGGGGGGGGGGAAAGAGGGATGATTGAAATATTTTCGAATGATTGAGAAGTTTTCATGGTTTAGTGATCACTGGAGACGGGTTTTTTTTTTTTTTTTTCCTTTTTGCGGGTTATTTTTTGTTGTTGTTGGGTGTGTTTTCGGTTTGTGGGTGTTGTTTTTTGTTGTTGTGGAATTATTTTTTAATTATTGAGAAGTTTTCACGATTCTAGCATCACTGGGGACTGGTTTTTTTTTTTTTTTTACCTTCTTGCCAGTGTTGGACTCAGATGAAGCCCTACTAGAGAATAGCGGTTCGATTACTGATACAGTTGATGGATTGCGGTATTCTAGCCTTCCAAGGTTTCCAACCTCCTCCCTTTTTGCCTTCACTTCATCTGGGCTTGCCTTGCGACGATGGAGGGAGGAGAGCGGGGTTGTGTTTGCGCATTGACGGGTTTTATGCAATGGGGGTTGGGGGTTGGGGGGGGGGGGGGGGGGGGGGGGGGGCGAATGGGGGTTTGGGGGGGGGGTGGCTTGTGGGGTGGGGGTGGTGGCGGGGGGGGGGGGTGGGGGGGGGGGGGGTGGTGTGGTGGGTGGGGGGGGGGGGGGGGGGGGGGGGGGGGGGGGGAAGCAAGGGACAACTCTGAATGTTTGATGCGTTGGCCTTGTGGTGCGGGATGTTGCGCTTCGGGTGATCCTATGTCTTTCGGCCTGGACCTTTTCATTGACGACCGACTGGTTTTTTGGTTGTGAATTAGAGCTTGGGTTTTTGCGTCTTGAATATGTGTGGCGATGTGGGTGGATTTGAATGGTGGTGGTGAGTCACATTCGGGACATCGTAGGCATGATGCGAGATCCAGAAGTAAAATCCACCCGGGGCGGCTGGAGCGTAACGGCGAGAAGGGTTGGGGGGATCCCGGACGATAGTCTTTTTCAATGTAGTCGTTTTTCTCGGGCCTTGGATCTTGAGAGGTCGGGAGGCTTTGCGGGACGGGGATATTCGTTGTTGGAGGAGAGCCGTGCTGGACCGTTTTACGGGTTGACGCGCGTGAGATGAGATGATCGATGTTGTATGCCGTATTCTCCACATGGTTTCGGTCCCCGTTCGTCTGATCTTATTGGAGTGCCTGCGCCTTCAAAGAGGGAACGGCATCTGTGGGAAGGCGATTGGTGACTACGTTCAGGGGAGCCCATGGCTCGAATGGCGAGCCGGCATCAGGTTCTGGCGTTTGTTATGAGCTGCAGACTCTTGTCCTTTTCGCTTTAGAGATGACTTTGCTGTTCGACGGGACGCTCTTCACGTTGTCCCACGCTGTATCAGGGTGCCTGGCCAAGGCACATTACCATGCACGGGTCTACCGTCGACATGGACCAGCGTCGCCTGTGATTGCTTTGGAAGGAAACTGACCAGGTTCTAAACCGTCTTTTCGCTCGTGGTGGTAGGTACTTGCTTGCATTCATATCCGTGGAATAGAAAACGGCCTGTGGTTAAGGGGCAATAAACCCATGGATCGTGTGAAGCTGGAGAGTTAAGGAGGTTTCAAAGTATTTGAGGAGGGTTTGGATGGGAGGGTTGCTTGTGCCGCCTTTCTTCGATTGGGGTATGAACCTGATCGAGTCCCGGCGCCGATTGTTTCCGTGTCCTCGGGCGGAGAAGAAGAGCATATCGATGCTTGGATAAGACGGTAGAACGGAGGATGTGTGGGTCAACGTCATGGCCTTCTTCTTGACGTCGAGACCGGGTTGGACCGCTTGAGCATTACTCCTACGTTGATAATTGGTGAAATTCAGTTCAGACAAGTTGATAATTTCAAGTTGAATATATATGGCGACGCAATCTGTCTGAATGATTCTCGACTTGGGAAGATGTGCCATTGGCCTCGTCGAGTTTGGCCTCCTATTTGTTGTGGTTCTCTCGAGTAGGCGGGATGGCACTAGGAGAAAGTGCTATGCCGTCGTTCCCGTTTGCCGTTGAGATCTTCAAGTTACGAGAGAGAAACCTTTCAGACTCAACGCTCATACTCTGAATTGTCGGAGACGTTTGATTGTAAAAGGTCAAGGACCAGGAGACGTTGTTGATGTCCGCGGCAGACCCCGAAGGAAGACACCTTGATATCTGCGAGTAGGCAATGGTGTACCGCTCTTGATTGCTAAATACTATCACGGAGCATTGACATTGCGCAAAGAAATGCAGAGTACAGGAAGGTGACTCGATAGATTGACTTCGCTGAAGCGCGACGACGTCTTTCTTTGCGTATTTAGATATCGGGACTGAACAGATACTACGTAGTAGCCAGATCATACCTAAAGAGACGTAAACTAGTCCTGATCGTCGTCTTGGAAGAATATGACACCAAGAAAGCTGCTTGGTGCAAAGGTGTGTCTTGGGAATGGCTTTTCCTTGAGGGTATTCGATGCTAGATATGGGGAGGCGAATGTCCGTGGAGGCATGAAAGCAGACTTCAGCAGATGATGAATTCCAGAGTGCTTGTTCCAGCGCAACTTCCTAAAACATACTTGAAAGGTACATGACCAAACCGCCGCTCCTATTTCCTGGCAATAGCCAGATGTCTGGTTCTGCCCATGCCCCTGGCCGCCAGATATGCGCCCAGATTTGGTGATGATTGCCCATGGCTGCATGTTTTGGTTAGATCATTAGTGATCTGACGGCTTCTCTTGTGAGTTCGGATACGCGTGTCTGGAGAGAGTCTTTTGAGACAAACAAATGACGGCAGCCGCGTACCTACAAAGGTTCCATGGGGCATACCTTCGTACTAAGTGACAAAT